TCAAAAGTCAGATCTCTTCTTCTTGGGCTAACACCGTCGATTGAATGACTTTCATGTTCTTATTACTTTCACGAAAACTGGCTCGTGCTTCAACCAAACCCTCCCGAGTTTTCTCGAGATCCTGAAGCTGCAACGAGAGGGAAGTTGCCATTATTGAAAGTTCTGTCCTGCACTCTGTCAACTGTGATTCCAAAGATGTAATTTTTTCAACATCGGATTTATACCGACGTTTCTACTCACCTTGAAAATATTTGATCTTAACAAACTCGGAATTCCAGTTTTTCAATGTCAATCCTAGCCTCTTTTGAGTTTCAACCATACTGCCCACCTAGAAGAAAAGAAATTTGGGTCAGAAAGATTAAATAATTATATAATAGCAGAAGATGAAAGAAACTTACAAAACTCTCGGCTTCCAGGAGCCCAGTACATTCATGAGACAAAATTTTCTCAGGAACGTGAATAGTTGAAGGGTTTGGCAAGGGCTCCTGCAATGTTTCGACCTTCTTTTGTTTCTGGGGCAGTACTTTACAGTTACTGCTCATTGGGAACCACTTTAATGATTCTACAAGGGCTGATTCGGAATGTCTCTTCTTAGATTTCTTTAATACTACAGTCATAGACCCTTTGGGGTGGAAAGAAAGCTTAACCTTGAACAATGATTCTTCATTCAAAAATTTATAAATATATTGTGTCTCGAACAACAAATCCTTCAAGTCACAAAATCTCAGCATCTGCAATATTCCCTCTCGGTAGTCTGAAAAGAGACAGACAATTGTTGAAACCTTCATCGCCTCTCGCGGAGCCCCCAAACATTTTGTGCAAAATTTCATGGACCATTGTCTCATCGATTTCTTTAGGCGGAAATCCATCATCTTATGCTTAAACATCATACGATCATGTGTACCACTAAAGAACCCGCACATCTGTGCCAAATTTGTCTGTGTTAACGTCGACCCATGACTCCTAAAGAAAACAATTAACCCAATAATGATTGTCATCACCCGACAAGGCAACTGGGTAACACAAACCCCGAACGTTTTCATAATATCAATAAACTCAGGTGCCGGCGAAAATCTTAAACCTGCTCTCAAGGCTACCTTATGAATAACAACATACCCAGGAGGAGAATGCGCTCGATCAGTTGAAGTTTGACAATTTCACCACCATATCATTCGGGAAGTAATACTTCTTTTGAAAAAAGATAAAGTCGCTTTCCCTCAAACTGACACAGCATCCTCTGGTTTCTGACTTTTCCTCTGGTTCTCAGCAGAACGGGGTTCTCCAGTTGTTGTCATTTCTGCAACAGTACACAACAACGCTGCACTATAACGCTTCGCCGCAACTTTGCACCGCAACTCTTAACCGCAACGCTTCGCCACAACTTTGCACCGCAACTCTGCCCCACAATTCTGTGTCACAACTCTTCACCGCTAATCAGGACGATTTCTTCTTCTGGGAAATTCCGAATCAGCTGGGGGCTCCACCTCTACCAACTCCATCAGACCTCTATTTATAGGCTCCAAAAGGGATTTAACCATTAATGGTCATTATTATAAACTTCAAAAAGAAGTGAAAAATTAAATATTTGTTATTAAATAGACTTAAAAAAGAGGTGAAAATTTAAATATTTGTTCAAAAAAGTGTGAAAACATTAAATGACAAAAAAAAACTTTTCATCTTCCAAAAAGAAAAGAAAATAACTTTTCATATTCCAAAAAAAAATCTTTTCATTTTTTATTCATTATCTTTTGCCCTTTCAAATTATTTAATATCTTCAAATTCCTTTATAAAATATTATTTATCTATTTTAGGCGGGATTCAAACCCCCCTCTCCCACATAAAACAAAAGATACTAACCAACTAAGTTGAGTTCAACTTTCTACTTATATGAAGATAAAAATTGTTGTTATACTAACTAAGATATACATATTCTTATACATAAATACTCCATATATTAATATTTTAGAACGATAAAATGTCTCGCTCGAAAATAGGGGGGCAACTGATACACCACCAACAAAATTTCATCATCCAACACGAATCTCGAGGCTTGACACAAATCTCGAGATAATATTTTAAGCAAGAAACATTCAAATATTGATAAAAAGTCATCCAGAGCTCCGATTTCAGTAAACTTATAGTCAAACTGACTGGTTCGATGAGACGAACCTAATGATATGAAAACTAGTCCAATCTAAGTCAAATCAAAGACAAATGAAGTCATTAAACCACAGTCAGAAGATTTATGAATACATTTAGAAAGTCAAACGACTGTCAAATATGACAAGTTTATACTCAAATCGAGCGACTGGACAAGACGAATACAAAGAGTCCAAGATCACTCAATTCTGACATCATTAAGACACTGAAATGTCCATTAAACACCGTATGATCGATGGAAGCTCTCCAGACCGTCTGATGAAAATAGTTCATATTCATGCATTAATTGCACCCAGAACACTATAAATAGAGCCCCATCCCTCTCATGAAGGAGAATGAAGTCTAGAGAGAGCCTGAGGTATTGAGGAGAAGTTGCAGCTCAACATTACCACCAATCGTCGTCGACCACCGCCGACCTCCATCGTTGACCACGTTGACCATCGCTGACCTCTGTCATCGACCGTCTTCGACTGTCGTCGATTGCCGACGACCACCACCAATCTCAGATGACCACCGCCGACCGTCGTCAAACTCCACCTACCGTCATCGATCACCACCAACTAGACGCCGTCAGTCGACGTTGTATCTTGAAAAATATAGTTATCATTTCCTGTATGTGGGACAAGAGATTTCTGTAATTATCAATCAATAGTGGATTTCCGCAACTGGGCCAGCCCCGTGGTTTTTTCCTTACGAGTTTTCTACGTAAAAACTTCTGGAGTTATCAACGTTTTTTTCTATTTTATCTGTGTGTGTGCTAAACTTTTATGACATTTGTTACTTTACCGCCGCGAATTTTTTAGCACGCATCAAAACTTAAATTGTTTAAAAGAAATAATTAAATGAAGATAATAATTAGTATAATAATAATAAAATAATATATTTCTCAAAGAGTCAAATTATGACAAATTGTTTTTAAATAAAAATATTACATATACAAAATTAATAATAATTTTTATGCACTTAACTTTAGGTTTCTCGCTAGAGATAAGGAAAAAGAACATTAAAAATCATCTACAATCGAGGTGAGTACTTTTATTTTTAAACAATATTAATAATTTTTTTATTCTAAAAAATGTTTGCATTTTATAATATTTGTTTGTATTTTATTCTGATTAATATTATTTTTTATTGATCATATCGTTATGGATGTTGTATTTTTATTACACTTAATTTTAGGTTTCTCGTTAGAGATAAGGAAAAAAAATGTTAAAAATCATCGACAATCGAGGTGAGTACTTTTACTTTTAAACAATAGTAATAATTTTTATATTCTAAAAAATGTTTGCAGTTGATAATATTTGTGTGTATTTTATTCTGATTAATATTATTTTTTATTGATCATATTATTATGGATGTTGTAATTACTTACTCATGCATTTGATATATGTTTTGTATAGTATGTTGAATTGAGTGCAATTAATGCATATGTTTATGATAACAGTTTTTATGTGCATGACATGTTATGATGGAGCGCTCATTAATAGTACTAATAGGGGAACACTAATGTACTCGTGCATGTAAATGGAAAAAGATATTGTTATTGATGTGTCTTAATCGACGCAATTTTTAGACAGTGTCTCTTGTGACGATTGTATAAATATAAAATAAGATTGATATGATAATGATATATATATCCCTTTGAATAACATGTCAAATGTTTAAATTGATTTATAAAAAAAAAGCTTTGCTGACATGTGTTTTGTTCTTTATTTTTTTAATGTTGCTGTAATTTAGAAGTATGAGTATTTACTGGCTCGCTTAGTTCACTATTGTTTTAACTGATTTTTCAACTTTAATTAAATTATTAAAAAATGAGCGATAAACTAGAAATCGATTATAAAGGATGCAGACAACTATCAACAAGGTAAATTTTAATTGTACCGTTTTAATTTAATTTGTAGTGACTCTTTCATCTGTTTAAATGTAGACAAATATAGAAAATTTAAATCACACCTTCTGACCTTCTACACATGTCTTGGTAATTCCAAGCTCCGGACTGTGTTTTGATAGAATTAAAGCTATTAAATCCTTGATATTGAGTGGTTACCAAATGACCATTGAACAAGAATGTTTGTTCTGTTTTTTTAGGGCATTTACGTACATGGCACCCAGTTCTTATGTTTTTACATGTCGAACAGCTAAAATTTGTTTTTTACATTTATACCACATAAAATAATACCACTATTTTTACTTTTAAAGAGTGACATACACTTTTGCATACATAGGGAAGGTGGCATATATGTGAAAAATTATGTTTAGGCGTTAAATATGTAAATACATGAGAATTGAGTGGTATGTATGTAAATCTTCCTTTTGTACAGAGAGATGTTAAGGTTTGTGATAATTTTTGAGGAATCAAGTATGTCATATAGTCCAATTATGCAAGAGCATAATATAATAAAGACTTGGAAAAGTCAAATGATTTTATGGCAAAGAATCAACTGTGAAGTTAAAATTGTGCAAAGGTGCTAAATGAAAAATAATAAATAATTGAAAGGATTCTCATATAATTTGAACAAAACAGACAAAAGAAGTAGAAATTTTATTTATTTGGTATCAAGGAACAGATTTGTACACCAAGGGAAGATATGTTAAAACTATGAAGGATATTTATTTTAGAGCAATGATAAGAATTAGAAGTACTCTTTGGAGTGACGAAGAGATGGCATAGGCATTTCAGATATGACTAATTTATAGATCAATTTTATCTCTATATATCTATATGAATGTTCAATAATAAAGAAATCCGTAGATTTTGTGTAGAACAGTAGAATCTAATGCTTTCCCTCAAATTCAAATTTGGTTATGTTTAGCTTCTTATTTACATGTTTTTGTAGATGCAATCAGCACCAGCGTCGCAAGTTAACTCCTTTACAGGTAATCTATTGAAATGTTTGAACTGTTTTGATTTAGCTTTTCTCTATGACTCAATCTGTTTTGGTTAAGAAATGCACTTTTCACAGCAATTTTTATTAGATTTTCTAGCTGTTTACATTTGCCTTAGCTATTCTCCTCGCAGATTTATTTCATAATCTTAATAAAATTACAGATACACCTTTATAATATCATCTCTATCCACCCATGACCTACGTATTTACATATCCAACACTCAAATTTTATTTTTTACATTTACATTTATACCACCTAAATCTCTCATATCATATAAAAATTAATCACTATTTTGATTTTTAAAAGTGAAATACACCTTTTCATAAATAGGCAAATTGGCATTTTAGGTATTAGATATATAAATTCATAAGAATTGATTGGTACGTTTATAAATCCTCCTTTTATTTATTATTGATGGCGATTTAGCAATATAGTAGAGTAGGCTTCTTTTTATGATGTGCTTTTTTTTTTCCTCTCAAGCGAGTCACCAAACTCCGCTAATAAGGCTATCTTGATTAATCTACTTTATAAAGGATATAAGACCTTCATGAATTGGTATTTAGTTAGTTATTTCTGAGAGGAGCTGTATGTAGGACTGTAAATGAACCGATGCACTCGATGATCAACTCAAACTCGACTTGATTAAAATTTGATCATGTTCATTCAAATTAGTAAATAAACAAGCCTGAACAATTTTTTAGGGTTTAGTCGAACTTGTTCATTTCTATTTACGAGCAAATTCGTTTATCATTCAAAGAACAACTTGTTAAATACTTGATATGAAGCTTAAATATAACGCGTATCATATATGATATATTATTTAAATAAAATTTGATTTGCTATAATTTATTTAATTATAGATTTAATAATAATAATATATTTTTATTTCAATAATATTTTTAGATTAATTATTTGAAAATTTACATGATGGAATTCTAAAAGTGTATATATGAAAATTAAGATAATCGTTTAAATTTTTAGCTTGTTTAAATACTCGTTCACTTGTCATAAAAAATGAAGTTCAATGAATGAAAATTTTAAACAAGTCAAGCTTGAACAATATGTGAAAGTTCGACGCAAGCTCAAGTCAAACATGAACAACTTATAATTGTATCAAGCCAAGTCCAAACTATGATATACTCGGGGGGTGCTAATTGGAGCAAAGTGGGAGGTTGCTTATGTAATTAGGAAGTTTGAGATGATTTATAGTAAGCATTTAGTATTTTAAGGGCATTCATTTGAGCTAAATAATAAGCTCATATCATCATATGTAATTATCCTTGAAAGAAACCACCACAAACCTCTAGAATGCTATAGTTTCATGCCAGCCACTTTAGCACTCAGAATCAGAAAGAGTATTTAATCATTTTTTAATAAAAAGAGAACATTTACACACAATTCTTACATATTTGCATCTCGAACGCCTAAACACTCATTTTTACATGCATTCCATTCAAATTTTTAACATCACATAAAAAATATCACTATCACCACCTTTTTCAAAAGTGAAATTCAGATTTTCATGCATAGGTTTATGACGACAAGGTGTTATAAGCGTAAAAATCAAACTTTAGGTGTAAGATATGTAAACACATATGAATTGTGAGGTATTTATGCAAATTTTCTAATAAAAAATGTCCATCCCCAGCACGACCCCATTCCCCTCCCGCCTTTCCCATGCTCTATGCCTTTTAGTCCATGCACGTTCATAAGATTGACGGTATCAAATGATAATAGTTTTCTACGTTCAATTAAGGAGATGGTCATCATTCCACGATTGCTACATCCAAAGAGGAATTCAGACAAAGGGAGAACTCGACATTGCAGAAGGCAAGTCTTTTTTTTTTTTTTTCTTTTTTGGAAATTTACATACCTAGCACGCAATTCTTTTGCATTTACATATTTCACACCTAAACTTTCATATTTACATACATAACACTTTAGTGATTTAAACCTACGAATGAAAATTTGTATTTTGCTTTTAAAAAGTGATAATAGTGCTATTTTTAACGAGATATTAAAGACTTGAGTGCTATGTGTGTACATATAAAAAATTAGGTGTTTTCTATGATCTAAATTATAAATTGGAAAGAGACAGGAGATTTTACCGAGCAAATCAGAAATGATAAACCAATTATTGGATACTGAGCATGGAAGGCTACCGCATCTGGACGGAACAAAAGGGCAACTTGATGATTTTGGTTATGACTCAATATCGGATGAGGTAGGGTTGCAAATGCCTTGCTTCTTACTTACAAACATGAAGCTTCAGCTGTGCTATATTTTACAGATTTTGGAAGCTTAAACAAATTACAAGACAAAATGAAAAACCTAAACTCTACTTCTACAGATTTTTTCGTGGGCATTTTACAAAATAACACCCAATTTCTATGTATTTACATATCTAACACCTCAACTCTACTTATTACATTTATGCCACCCAAATCTTTCATATCACATAAAACATACCACAATTTTGACTTCTAAATATGAAATACATCTTTTCATGCATATGTAAGGTGGCATAAATGTAAAAATTGAATTTTAGGTGTTCTAAGGGATCGAGCGGTATGTATGTAAATCTTCTTTTTTTTTTAATGTAGCACAAAGTTTTTTAAATATGAGGAAATAAATGATAACTGTGCTTCATGATTATTTTACTAATGTGTAGCACAAAGTTTTTTAAATATGAAGAAATAAATGATAACTGTGCTTCATGATTATTTTACTTCTGGGGGTTTTATGGGAGGTTATCATGTTCTGTTTCATATTGACATTGTCTTTGAAGGAAATGAATCTTTCAACTAGCTTATATTTACTACTGAAGTTGGTATCTTATGATAATAGTACATTGCGAACTACTAAAAAAAATGTCAATTTTTGTATGAATCTTGTCAATCATGTCGAGATTGGAGCTTGCTAAATCATATGTTGTAAAATGAGGCTTAAATTTTAGGAAGGTTTACTTACATACCATTTAATTCCTATATATTTACATATCTAGCACCTAAACTTCAATTTTTTCACACGTGAAAAGGCATTTATCACTTTTTAAAATTTAAAATAATGGTGTTTTTGATGTGATATGAAAGATTTGGGTGTTATAAATGTAAACAGTAAAGTTTAGTTGTTTGATATGTAGATACATTGGAATTTGGTGCCCTCTATGTAAATCCTCCTAAATTTGGTGCGCTTTTCTGTAAACGCAATTTGGGCATCTGCTTCTTGATTCATCATGTAGATTTATGCCATAAAACCGTCTAATTCATGGCACTGCAACACAAACTTAATTTGAGGAAATAAACACCAAAGATGGATGAGATCACATTATACCCTTGTTTGAATCTTTACCATTTTCTTAAGGAAGATTTACATACATACCACTCAACTTCCATGCATTTACATATCTAATTCATGCCACCTTGCTTATGCGTGAAAAGGAGTATTTCACTTTTTAAAGGTTAAAATAATAATAGTTTTTATATGAAGATGAAAATTTTGGGTGGTATTAATGTAATAAAATAAAGTTTTGGTGCTATATATGTAATTGCATAGGAATTGGGAGGTATGTTTGTAAATGCCCCTTTACCTAATGAGATGATTAGTTATATTGGACATGTGTTAGCACTACTCTTAAAATGCAACCAATATAGAAGTTACATTTCTCTATGAATGTTTATAAGGAAAATGATACGCGGCGAAAATTTCCATTTACGTATGCATCTGCTGGAGCTAAGAGAGGAGGCTATGATAATTTAGAAAAGAAGCTGCACGAAGCGTGCGAGTGGTCCACTATTCTTGATGAAGCCGATGAGCTAGCGGGTTTGCGTGGAAACATGTGTGGTTCTTTCCATCCATCGCTTGTACCAGAGGAGAGAATATATCATAAAGGTATGCAACAAATGCAGCTATGTATTTTCTCACATCTATTTATGACTAGTTAGGTGCAGCCCATTTGGCCTGGTGGTTTTGTGCTTTGTTTTCAGCTATGAAGCCTCGAGTTCATGGCCTAGTACCTACGATTATGTGTATTTGAGTTAAAAAATGGAAAACTCACATACATTCCACAAATTCTTATATATTTACATATTTAGTACTAATTATTTATGAATGTTGTTAAGTATTCGTCAATCCATTTTTGTAGTTTTACTATTTATGAATATTGATAAAGCAACCTCATAAATTCTTTATGTTTATGAAGCTTTTGTTAACTACCTGTTTCTCTTAACCATTTGTAAAATGATTGTCCAAAAAACTCCATCATAGCATTCTTACATTTTCCACTGATTTCATGCAAATTGCTTTCTTCGATTTTGTAAATCCGACAGGTATTTTGTTTATGTTGATGCCTGTGAAGTCACGCATAAATATTTTATGTTGACTAATATAAAAAAAGGGAAATTTACGTACATACCACACAATTCTTACTTATTTACATATCTACACCCAAAATTCGACATTTACACTTATAAAACTTTAGTATTGTAAACTTATGCATGAGAAGGTGTATTTCATTTTTAAAATATTAGTGATAGTGGTATTTTTCATTTGAATTTTTACTTGCAAATTTGCAGTTAATTCACATCACAATTAAAATTTTCAAATTTATTCTTCCAAGCATAATTTTCCAAATTTAATTTAGCACTTGATTGTTCTGCTTAAATGGAGATTACAGGTAAGGAAATCTTGCCTTTTTTATAATTGGTACTTAATGGCGAGATGTTATTTCTATCACACTTGAATTCCATAGACATTTTCTTTGTTCAGGTATTTAAGGATTTCGGCTCTAAAGTTGTATTAGGAAGATTTACATGCATGCCAAACAATTCTTATGTATTTACATATCTAGCACCCCAACTTCAATTTTTACATACATACCACCTTTCCTGTGCATTAAAAGTTGAATTTCACTTCTCAAAAGTTAAAATGATGGTGTTTTTTTATGTGATATGAAAGATTTACAAAACTTAGGCGTTAGATATGTGAATAAATAGGAAATGGTAGTATCTATGTAAATGCCCCATAATATTAACTTGGAGGTACATTTGCAGCATATACTTCATCTAATCTACCATATATCATACCTTTTTAGTTATTTTTTCTCAGGTGGAAGGAGGGGCAGTTCCAAGTTCAAAATTTCCCTCCCATCTTTGTCCAGTATGGAAAATTTTTCAAGGGGTTCTTTGTCAAAAGATAAAATTTATAGTTCTTCTGAGGAAGATATTGAAGGACCTGCAGAGTGGTATTGCTTCAAGCATGAAACTAAAGAAGATACAGCACCGCGGCATTTGGAAGATATTTTTCAAGGGAGTGCCGAGCCGGCGAACAGGTCGGGGTCTCATAAGACGCTAGTTGGAGCTCCTTCAGTATCCGAGCTGCTTGAAGATATGCAGAATAAGGATCCATCCTTGAGAGGAATTCAGGTAGAAATTTATTTAACGGGGTATTTCTAATATATTTGCATATATCTCACCTAAACTTTCATATCTTGTCACATAGCACTCCAATCTATAATATTTTGTCAAAATAAGCACTATTATCACTTTTTAACAGTAAAGTACATCTTTTCATGCATAGGTTTAAAGCACCGGAGTGCTATGTATTTAAATATGAAAGCTTAAGTGTGATATATGTAAATACGTAAGAATTAAATTTCCCTTATAAAAACTGTTTATGTTTTTCTTGAATATCTTTTGGATAAATAGGGACCAGAAATAGGTACGTGATTGGACTCCAGCAAGATCATTGCAGGAATGATAAAAAAGGGGCATTTACATACATACCACTCAATTCTTATGTATATACATATCCAACACTTAATATTACTTTTTACAGAAGTGAAACACAACTTTTCATGCGTAGATGAGGTGACATGACATGTATGTAAAAATTGAAGTAGGGTGTTAGATATGTAAATACATAGGAATTAAGTGGTATTTATGTAAATCTGTCAATGATAAAACTCGCATGATTTTTTTTTTCAGGTTTTACAAGTCTGCTGTAGCTTTGTATAAAGCTAATTTTGGTAAAAGTTTTATTGAGTGTATCAAAGGAACAATGTGGTTAGAGTAGGAAGATGGAAGTTGCATAGTTTCTTGTGAAAAAATCTCACATAAATAACATACCGTAATATTTATCAAAATAACAATAATAATAATAATAATAACGATTAAAAAAACAAAATAAAATAAATCTTTTTTGAATAACCTTTAAGTTGTTCTACTATTATAAGTCGAGAGGCGACGTCTTTCGTTCGTATCGAGCGAGAAAGGGAAAGAGCAGAAGAAATTGGAGGAGGAAGAAGGGATGTGAGGTAATTTACAACCCTAATTTGTAGCTTCGTCAAGGAACTTCACATTCGATGTTACTATCAAGCTGAGATAAGCACGTTGTGGCAAGCCTAGCTAGTGCTGTCAAAACAGATTGTTGCTCGCGAACAACTAGTGTTCGGCTCGTTAAGTGCACAATTTTTTTTTCTCAATATATAAATTAGCTGAACACGAATAAAGGTTTTTTTTGTTTGTGTTCTGCTCACCAAACAAACAAGCCGAACACAAATAATTTTTTTGCGCTCGATAGATAAATGAACCGAAGACGAACTATGATATTTTTAACAAGTTGAGGCTGGGCTCACTCAAGCTCAGCTTGTTTACACCCTTAACCCCAGCCAAAGGAGGCAACGATGTTGTGCTCACGTGCAAAGGAAGCAGAGGAAACGACCCCTGCTCGCGTGCAAAGGAAGTAGATTATGCTGCGACGAGGAAGGAAGGAGGACGATTGCTCCCACTTGCGGTGTTGGGTTGAGACGGGACGGAAGGCAGAGGAGGAAGATGAGAAGCGCATGCATGCAGGAAGGACAGTCGGACCTAACTGCAGGACGAAGCTCTTGTTTGAGCTTAATCGTCTGACAAAAGAAATTTTTGGGTAAGTTAGGGTTTTTATTATAATTCAATCAATACATTTTATATTTTTATATATAATTTTATTATTTAAATATTAATAGTAAATGTATTTGAAATCATGTCTCTAGCAAATAGAATTTTCAGCTTGAAAGGAGAAGTTGGTAGAGCATGCGAATGAGACAGGAGATCGATCCAAAAAAACTTATTAGGTGAATGTTAATGTTTATATTGTTATTAGAACAAATGATATAATTATTTAAATTAATATTTTTTTTTTCAATTGGAAAGTGTGAAAAAAGGCTAATAAATCAATGGAATTTGAGGAAGACGTAATTTTAAAATAAAAAGAGGTTAGTGTTTTAACCATAAAATTTTTGCATAGTTTAATTGTTGTAGATTATTAAATATTATTTTAAGAATTTTATGAGTTTTAATTATGTGTGAATTTAAGGTGCAGTGAGTGTTAATTGAAGAATAAGAAAAGGGGAATCCAAGGGAAAG